TAACAATAACAATAATAATAAAAAAAGAGTGCGGGAACGATAATAAAAAACTTAACGAAGGAAAGTGACCAATAAATTAGGGGTTCCTTTTCGAAAAAAAAAACCTGGTAAAGATAAGATAATTTGTTTATTATTATTGTTCTGGTGAGTTAGTTACTTGATTTTTGGTGGTGAGTTGAAAGTAACATAAAAGGGGGGACTTGGTTTAACGATGTTTCACTAACCACACAAACAAGATTTTGGCAAAAATAAGAATCCAAATGCATAAATCCTATTACTACTAAAATATTACTAGTTCATGATATGTTGAGTTATGTTACTATATATTCTTTACATTCTTTACATTTTCTTTTATTTTACATTATTTTTTTTTTTTACATTTTATTTTTATTTTTTTACATTGTACATATTGTATTAATTCGTTGGATATTAGAGATTTTCATAATATTTTTAAATATTTTATATATTTTTTGGGACAGATTTACTATTGTTGTACAAAAATTTATAAAGTTGTTCATTATTTTATAAATAATAAAAAATAATAAAAATAATAATAATAATAATAATAAAATATTTATTTTTCAATAATCACATCACACAAATGACCAATAATATAAATCAAAAAGAAATTTCCAGTTTATTTTATTATTATTATTATTATTTTAATTTGTGTAATTTCATTTTTATTTTTAAGGATCCTTTGTTGCTTGTATGATAATAATAATAAAAATATTTAACAAAATCTATATAGAAGTTACTTTTTTAGGTAGTTAATATTACTATTATTATTCGATTCAATTTATTCAATGAATATAAAGATATCATTTGGTTAAACAATTGAATTTACTTAAAGAAACTTGAAATGAGAAACACTCGCTTTTATTATTAATCAATTAGACTTGATACATACTAAATATAAGAAAATAGAATATTCTGTATTACTAAACTTATATATAGATGAACAAAGGATCATGTCAGAATCTTACTTATTATTTTATATTTCTCATTTAGATTGATAGAAAGAAAAAAATTTATAGAAAACTCCGTGATTTCCGTATAATCAATTTAAATTTAAAATTTTTTCAACAACTAATATCTATATTTGGTAATCAATAATAATGGAAATCAGATATAATGCTTATTTATAATAAATTGCTTAATTTATTTGTTACCGTTGTAGTCATTTATATTAAAGTCATCAAAAGGTTTACGTGCTTACTTTACTCAACGTTTTAAAAATATTCAAAAATTGAAAGCTGTATTTTCACGTGATCATGAATATGTCAATAATTTTGTGTTCCATTCCTTCCGTAGTGTCTGGAAAACAAACTCATTCTATCCAAAAATAAATTATTCAATGTATTCAACACACCAATCAAATAAGAGGTTTAGATCATGTCACTTTTTGGTACATGATACGTGATGTTCGATATGGTGTTATTATACCAGATCAAGATTCATATTATCAAGAAGATTTAAGATATTTTTATATAAAGGAATAAAGAAGGTAAAGGTTATTATTATTATTTTTATTATTATTTTATCAATATGTAATATAATTCATTTTTATTTAAATATTTTATAGCTTTGGCTTGTTCTTTGATTTATCCTGGTGATATCTTGGTTCTGTTATTTATTTATTTATTTTTTTTTTGTATGTTTAAAATCAATTCAAATCAATTCAAAGAATGCAATGAGATGAGATTTTATGTGCGAATATGACATGATAAAGTGTTATAAGGTGTTTAACTTCAGAAAGGAGAATATTCTTTTCTCAATTTCCTTTTGATACGTTAAAATTTAATTCTCTTCTTTATTTGTTCAATAATGTTTACGATATTTATAATAGACGTTTAACCAAATAATCTACAATATATTAAAATGTTTTTAAATGTTATCTAGACTAATTAAAATTAAATATATGTATATAAAGTATACACCTAATTGACTCCGGAAATATTTTTTTTTTTAGAAAGAAAAAAAATGATTGATTAAAAAAAAATTACGCAAAAATAAATTGTTTCCGAAGATCGATTCCACGAGGCAAAGTATATATATGCGCGAAACAACCAAGTGAGATATTAATTTTTCGTACGTAATATGCTTTGATCGACATAATGCTCTGATCTATAAATTTAGTAAAAAAAAACGGTGACAATTTTTTAATGGAGGACCCATCACAGAGGATAAAATATTTGTTAATATGGATTTTCACAGGTGAGAACTGGATTAGAAGTCAATTCTTGGATACACATAATGTTTACATTATCATGTTATCGATGTTTGCCAGATTAAATAATTATTTATTTATTTCTTGTTCAAACCATAACTATTGAAATCAAGATTTCGTCTAACTTAGCGAGTTAATCAAGTATTTATTTTAATTTGTATAATCTTATATTTAAATATGTAAAGTTCATTGTGATGATTATATTATATAATGTTCATCCAATTACATTTATATATATATATATATGTCTTTTACACTTTTGGTTAAAGGATCATGATTAACACTATTCCTGCCCGAATAGAAGACTTATTGGTATTCATGAGTATTATATCAATCAAGATAACCATGATTATCCACAAAATTATAAGGATAATCATAATCATCTAAATAACTATAGCGTTTTTTCTTTGGTTGATTGATTACAGTAAGAGATTCTGGCGGGATTAACGATTTACCAGAGTGAAAGTAAAATTTTGGCATTGAAGAAATTTCTTCACCTTTGTCAAAATGCCAATGTGTAGTTAAAATCTTTAAATTTTTCGATGGTTTTGAGCGATGAGTTTCATACCCTGTACCAAAAATTTTAATGACTTGAGGTGGAGGAGTTGTAATTGCAAATTCGATCAAATTTGAACAATTATTTAACCAACTCCAATCACACCCGGAAAAGTTCCATTTCACAAGTTCAAGTCGTTGAAAATATTCGAGATAGGATTGAAATGCTTTGATAAGCATATTCCCGGGTCCGTTTGGAAATACCAACCGAAGATTCAAAAATCGTTTCTGGGCAGAGATGATTTCCTCAAGATAATTGATCGATTCTCTAGCACGTTCATCCGAGGTATCGTGAAGATTGATATCAAGATAGGACTAGAGGAAGCAATTTAAAATATTAAAAATTTACCTTGAGTGATGGTAATGTATTTAAAGATATTATTTGTAGCCAATATCAATATCAAAGAAAAAAAATAGTTTTTTTTTGAAACGACCGTTTGAGTGCAAGCATACCAGTCTCTTGCAATTTTTTGCTAATGACTTTATGACATTACTTTTTGGAAAAGGGGTATGTATTTTGACATTAATAAGGGTACTGAACATTGGGGCATAGCGTGGTGCTGTCCAAAATGTATAAGTAATTTCGTCACTTGTACCAGTATTCTCCATAATAAAAGTTTCCAGACGAATTTCACGGTCTGTTAACATTTGAAGTATTGATTCAACTGTTTTGATTCTTTCATATGCTCCTTTACAGACCAATAAATTCGTATAATTGAGTTCTTTGAT